GTAAGCCATCTGTTTGGTTGGGTCCACTATTTGGGAAGCCTGAGGGGAAGAGACCTCTGGGGAGATCTAGACGTAGATGGGAGGATAATCTCAGGCGGGATCTATGGGAGATAGGAGTTGAAGGAGACTGGATTTTGTTGGCCCAGGACAGGGTCCGGTGGAGGGCTTTGGTTAATTCGGTGATGAACGCTCGGGTTCTGTAAGCCATCTAGTTGGTTGGTTAGAATTCATTCTGTACTTCAAATACGTAGAATAAGGATAAAATTAGTAACGGAGCGAAAGTGTACTCCACAATGAAGCGAACAAAACTTTCGCAACGGTAAATCAAAACCAGGAAAACAGTAGCAGAGCTACAGCGCGCACGTCTGCAAACTAACACTCGAGTAAGCTAAGTTAAGCTAATCCAAGGCTTAGATAAAGAAAATATAACGTTTTCTTTACATCCATTGTTGGTCCCGGACAATTGCGCATAAAGTTGTTACTATCAGCTGCACACGTGCAAGTGTGAAATGTCCCTCTGTAGGTATAAATACACGCTTTGGTTAATTCGGTGATGAACCTTCGGGTTCGGTAAGCCATCTAGTTAGTTAGTTAGTTATATAATTAAAGAGCATGTTTGAGAGACAACTTTCAGTTGTAAGTCAACACAATATTCCAGGGGTTTGGCAACGAGAAGTTGCCAGCTGACAAACTATACAACTCAATGAGATTTTACTTGTAACCAAACTTTATCTTCCCATTCTAGAGTGGTCAACAGTGACAGTTGCTGGTGAAATAACTGGAATGCAATGGAATGCAACAACTCATAATAGCATTTGTGACTAGGATATGCTACCAGATGTAATCTTACACAATACAAAAAAGATCAGACTCATTTAAAAAAATAATAAAATAATCACTATGCCACATCAAAATATGCATGTTCATGCAATTACATAAAATGATAAAAACCCTTATGGTATCAAAAAGAATTGAACAGCAAATGAGTGCTTTTGTTACAACTGAAAAATATTCCTACATTTAACATTATATTGACGACACATTAAAAACACTTATGACATCAGACTTCTCGTAGGCTGTACCCATCAAATTAACTTTTATTGTACAGGCACATCTTGTAATATGCACCTTCATTATCTGTATTATGAGCAGCATCAATATACTTTCTATGGCCACGGTACAAGCTGCCGCAGAGGCCGACTGACTTGCATTAGCAGTTTTAATGACTTACCCCACCATTTTGACTTTGGGGACTACAAATTAAGGCTTCGTTCTCATGGCAAATCACTCAAAAATCAATGGGACATGTCACATACCTCACATTTACACATTTAAAAAAATTTGGCGATTTGCAATAACACAATCTCCACATATAACAAGAGTCGCCTGTACTTAAAAAAATTAGCTAAGTAATCCAAAATTAATCTCAGGTTCTTGGAGTAAACTTGTAACATGTTACATAAATATACACATATTCTGTCTTTTGCTTAGAATCACATCTCCAAAACATAAAAGAACTCTACACACGCATGTTATTTAGTACATACCAATCTAGGGTCACATGAGCAAATATGTGCGCCAGCCGAATAAAACAATATCCTGTGCAGAAGGAATCCCACCCTGCTTCATGAAATTTCACATCAAGATCCTGATTCCGTCCTGACTCATCAGCCCTTACTTCCTGATCCTTCATCTGTGGATCTGAAACAATCACGTGCCTTTTATCTTCAAAAATGCGTTTCACGTGCAACACAAAATGAAAACATCTAAGAAGCAACACAGACACACATTGAAGGCCACAAAAGTGTATGAATAGAATTTTATTGCGACCTACACAACTATTAAAAAAATTGTTACATTTTTTTCCCCAAATGGTAAAATGTTTAAATTTTTGTCATCTACAGGCTGCGTGTGACAGAATCTAAACTAACGTACGTGCAACGCACAGTGAACAGATATATTTGTAGGTACACTGCCAGATAAACGACCATAAAAACAAATTCAATACCACATCTCAGGTCAACTGGTGTTTCTGGCTTCCTTGCAGAATTTGTATTTCATAACCCAAAAAACTATCAATAACACTACTTCAAATATTTCTGGAGTGACTAATAAACCTTATAACATTTAATCCCTTCAATACGTACCATGAATTTCAGCTTCATTTTTAATTTCTATAACGGGCGAGAACAACACAAAATATCTTCCGCGGCCTTCTTTGAAGAAATGGTACAGGTGACTCAAAATATTTGATTCCCACATACCTGTCAGAAACAAATATTATAATAATATCACGCAATAATAAATTAACAATCTGCTAATGTTTGAACTTATCCTTAAAGCTGGCATAATTTTAATCAGATCATGAGATTAAATTAATATTTAAGAAGCAATGAAACGAAAGTGGTGTATGAATGAATACACATACTAGTACTTTAGTACCAATATATCACTACAGTTCATCCTTTTATGCATTGCTTCTTGACTAGTCTTTATGTATTCGACTACCGCGTATCATTGCATAAAGCATATAGGCTTTCCAAAATTTTATCATCAAGTCTTGGGTGTAAATTGCATGTGAGAGTTTCTGAGAATGGTTCATCATGGAAAAAATCACTGTACAGGTAGCCCTCTTCTTGCGTCGGTTCAATCTGCGCCGATTCAGAATAACGCCGATTTTTAAACCAGCAAGTCAAAAAGTGAAAAAAAATATATTTTACTATTATTTATAACGTTTTACAATGTACCTCATACTGATTCTTATACTAAATCGTAATTCTTACATCGCTGATTTTGAATAAAAATTATAAACACAGTCATCTCTGCAATTTTGTATGTCTCGTTAATGCGAATTTGCTGCAATGAGATCCATGAATCGGTAAAAGCTGTTTGTGAAATGCAAACTTTTGCATATGCAAGTTTGCTCTTATGCAATTTCATTCCTGGTGCTTTAAACTTTCAAAGGAATATATTTTTTAAATTCCCTTTATTTTATCTACGTTATTTCAGAGCTTTAAATGTAATGTCATTATATTACTCGTCAATGTTTGGGTGCTGGGAACGCATACCATTGACTTCCCATTGATTTACATTATAAAAGAGTTTCAATTTACGCTGATTCCGTTTATGCCGGTTCGTCCAGGGACACATCCCGGCGTAAATCAAGGGCTACCTGTACTCGATCTGTCTCTAAAGTAAAACATCTGTTCCCAAAAACCTTAGAACACCTTGAACAGACTTAAATGGTAACAAAAGATAGCTTTCTTCTACATAGTTTTCAATGTGGAAATTTTCATCATAGTCACATAAAATTATGATTAGTTAGTGTCCAGCCAAAATGTTTGGTCTGTACCAATGGTTTGGAGGAATGCAGTTCTCGGTTAACAATGAATGGAATCACATTTACAGGTGAGATTCAACATAAAATATTACAAAGAATTTTACCTTCTCTTTTCATTATCTTCTTTATCTCAAAACTGAGGTATTTAGTGTCATAAATTACTGGGAACATTCTGTGAATTTTCTCCTTGAAGTCGCTTAACTGAGCTGAAATACATAAATTATTATTATTACTATAAGGTAATGTTTTATAATGTAGATCATAACAATGATAATACAGAGAAAACTTACTAGGCAATTGTTCATGGAACTGGCTGTACATAATCATGAGATCCATCAGAAAGTTATGTCCAACAATGGGCTTCTGAAGTTCTACCAGCAGTTTAAACAATCGAGAGAATCCGAGCAGCGAATCCATCAAGTCTGCTTCCAAGCTTTCATTTTCATCTTTGCTTCCCTCACGTGCCTTTCTCTCCTCTTCAGATATCTTCTGAACTCTTATCTAAATTTCAAAATAGCATGCACATAAGTTATTATACATATAGTCATTCAAATTCAATCTCCACAAATTACGTCAACTTTTTTTCTAAATCCCCTATTCCCATACGATAAAAGTTAAAATAATGACAGTAATGCATAACAATGTCAAAAAACCTACAAAACTGAAACTTCCCATTAAATTAACTTACAAATCCACTATCCGGGAAGGTCCAAACATTGGGAAATCTTTGTCGAAGTTCCTTGTGCACGACGTAAGCCAGCGGTTTCTCTCCTTTGCAGACGTCCATGTCACTCAGCTCTAGTACATCTCCGAGCACAGCACTGGCAGACCATTCGGCCACACGAGAACATACCAACTGTATAGACCTCTCATTTTCCAGTGATATGGTACGTTCCAAATGACGGAACAGAGAACCTTCATTCAATTGCTTGCGTAAATGAGCTTCCTGCTGTTGGTTCAGGTATGGGACACCTTCATATACAAACTAACAAGCAAGAATTATCAGCCATTTGTTCCAACAGAAATAACAAGGTAAAACTTTCAGTCATTTGTTACATCAAAAGAAATAGAGAATAGAAAATATTCTGCAGGCAAATTAAAATAATTCCAATAAAGTCAAGATATCGTCTTTTCAGAATGTATTACTTTTCGTACCTTATTAAAATCAAAATCATGTTGGCAAAGAAATTCCAATGATGATGCCTGACACATGAATTTATTATCCACAGATGCAAAAGACTTTGGAAATATATAGAATGTGTATCTGCTGGCTTCATATTTATTTTTGTCCTGAACAAATCTGAAGGTACATATCCCAATTTGCATTATAATAAAGTGCTGCACACTTCGGCGTAACTTGTCATATCTTTCATTACTGGTGTCAAATAAGCTAGGAGAAAAAGAAATCAATATTATAAACCCAATGCAGCATGATTTACCTCAAGCCCCTGCCATCATTATGTATTAAAATGTGGAAAGAAATTATGGAAATAGTTACATAAAACCTAACCTCACACAGAATCTGGCAGGTTATACTGGTTTATGTAAGGTCTAACACCTGTAAATAGTCCTGAACTTCAACTATTCATGGTCAACATATTATAAAGCTATTTTCCTACTTATGAGTTACAGCATAAATTTGTTATCTAATACTGTATAGCATTATTCTAATAAAATAAAAAATATTTACCTGGCTTTAAAATCTGGGTCAGATAGAAGACCTGTGAATTCAGTATCCACAGCAATGAAAACAGCATTTCTCAAACTTTCTACTATTTTAGGATACTTTTGTTCAAAATTATTTCTAGTAATTTCACTCATGGTTATTCTGAAACAAATGAAGATATCCAATTGCAACATTTTTTCTTTTTACTTACTCATTCACAGTTTCAATGAAGAATTTTTTAGGGAAAGAAAGAAAAAAAAGAGGAAATGTTGAGAATTTTATTAACATTCTGCAAATATCCACCTTACTAGCATCCACACTAGAGTTTGCAACAAACAAAACCACTGCAACTTAAGTTCAGAAATATTCATAATTGTTTTACAGAAGAGAGAGGAATGTCGGAAATGTTCCTTTGGTATGACGATATTGTCTATTCATTTCCACAAGTGTGGTACAGACAGGCAGAAGTAGCTTCTGGCAGCTTTACAAAAATAAAAAACTTTGAATTCTTAATCATAGGAAATTATTATTTATATAACACTAACCAGAAATGGTATTAAAAAATTACATCTTACAGCAATGCTAGTATGAAAATTGGCTACAGATTCAGTAAGCTGCCACCCTGACAACATACAAAACATCAAATGTGTTAGATTAGTCGTGGGAATAATGCTCGACACCAATGTTCGTCATAGTTTATGCTGTCAACATAATCCAATTATTGCTAAGAAATGTCAAACTTCTAATACCATTTTTTAATGCTCTTAGGAATATTACGCCTTGTGTGATTTGGTTAGGTTCGTTTTGTATTAGGAAATATGTGATGGCCTCACAACACCAGTAATTAAATATTTAACTTTAGACCAAATACGATCTTTAAAGGCGAAACACCATAATTCAATGCTTCACACACAATTCAACGCAACACACTGCACTCTGTGGGCAAGTTCAATAACCAGGTTTGAGAGTTGATATAGGCATGTTCTGCCATCTCTATATAATAATTCTAAGCATGATCCCTGATTTCTCGCTTGACGTCAGTACGCTCTTCTAATAATTTAGTCGGCCAAAAGGCTTACTGTTATTCCACCCCGCTCAATGTAAATTTTTGTTTCGTAACTTCCGAAGTGTTAAAGTCTTGAATTCCTAATTCGTCAACCACCTACAAGACTACAAGGCGTCGCAGTCCAGAAGATAAGTCATTTCCCCAGCATAATAAATTCAAATTTAAAATATTCGTAGAAAATTACGGTTTGAATACCAGCGTTTATAAAATATCGTAATACAAATTTACATCACGCTAAGATGACTTCAGTTTCTGACATTATAAATGCTGTTATTTTATCTCCTTAATGTTGCGTATTTTTAATACCACGCAGAATTTTACAGTAGTGTTGCCGCCACCTCAAATTTCGCACGGCTGCCATATTGGCACTATTATGTATGACCGGAAGTTGTTATCATACTTGTGTTTCAGAACGCGTTCCGGAAAGCTTGTTTGGATAAAAGGGGCATGCAGTAACGAAGGATTGAACAGAGGGATCACACGAAAAACGATAATTGCAAACTTATGGTCATAAAACCTTTGACACAGAGTCAGGCGCAGGTGGGAAGATAATACTAAAATGGATTTTGGAAAAATAAGGTTTGAAGACGTCAATTGGATTGTAGAGACTCGAGATCTGAGCCAATGGTGGGTTTTTATAAACACAATGACGAACCTGTGGGTTGGTTTCATAAAATCGGGGAATGTATTTACCATATGAGTACTGAAAGGGACGGAATAACATCTGCGTGACAAATGTCTGAGGTTCAACTACAGGCAGGATCAAAGATAGTCCTACTCATTTTCATCTCACCAAAGGTAGCTGATTTCGAAGAAGGACACTCGTAAATATTTACATCTAGTGCCAAGGTCGAGGACGCGTGGGGCCTTGCCTCCACGCCCGCAATACGCCTTCATAGGGATGATAATTCGATGCTGACAGTAGTGTCAAATGATCGGGTGATTCTTAAACAATAATTTTAAAAAATATATGGAAGGAAGCGGTCGTGGCCTAATTTAAGGCACTATCCCAGCATTTGTTTAGGGAAATTAAGAAAAAAAAGCAGGTTAAAAGTTCAATCCTGATATCAAGTCTAATTGACGGGACTTCCCGAATACGTAGCAGAAATTATAAACACTCAACAGAAATGTCCGTATCTATGGGCTGGAGCTTTGATAATTTTGGTCCGCTAAATTTTTAACCGGTGTTAACTTTATAAACCACCCAGCTCGATACAAAACTCACAGACTGTATTTATTCGTTTCGTATGATTCTCGGTGTAAGTAGCGACTATTACCTTAAACAGCATCAACCAATTGATCTTTGTAATGGTAACGTGTTGTGTTTTCTTCGCGGTACGGACTGAAATGTTATGTACTACTTAGACTAGCTTCGGAGTCAAAGAGTTAAAGGAAGACCCTACACAATGGACTTTGTGAGCGGTCCAGCTCCAATTCACCCCAAGCGTTCGCGTGAGTACGCCTATCTCG